AAGTATTATTATATTCAATCGACAATATCTCTCTGATTAATTTTTTTATTATTTTATTCAATTTAAGAATAAATTAAATATTGTCGAAAATTCCTTTTTCCATAATATAGCTATTTGCGCTAAGTTATAATGTCTACTACCTAAACCATAATAATACTGAATAATTTTTTTTTTAAACATTGAAGTATATTTCATTACATCTCCCTAATATCTTTCGCAATCTGTAAATTTTCTTTGCGTTCTTTACATTTGGACTGTTGTTCTCGTGTTTTCAACAATTGTCCCCGCCGGTCTTCGAGTGTTGGTCGATCATGGAATTTCTAATTGAACCCTTTATTAAATCTACGGCGTAGGTTCTTCTCGTTCTGTTGTCCATGTCTAGAGATAGTTCGTCTAATTCCTATTTAGTGTGTGTATTTTTTCAGTCTACCTCAGCAAGCGTAATAAAGGGTACAGTTCGATATTCCAACAACCTGAAGAAGGCCGGAGCGTACAACGGCCGAAAGTTTGTCCATTTTGTATATATGTGTCTATTTGATGTATTCTTTTCAGTAAAATTACCAGGACACGAGTAAACTAATTATAAACAAACATTTCTACATTACACATTTAAAATTCGTCTCTCTTTATATATATTCATGTATATCAGTCACTTTTTGCACTACACACACACACACACACACACACACACACACACACACACACACATATATATATATATATATATATATATATATATATATATCAATTGTTCATATATATATAAATATATATATATAAATTTTTCATATATATATGGAAAATTAGAGAATTAAATTAAAATCCCTAGTTCTGTTTCAATATTTATATATACATGAACAATTGATATATATATATATATATATATATATATATATATATATATATATATATATTTGTTCATATATATAAATTGTTCATATATATATATATATATATATATATATATATATATATATATATATATATATATAATTATTTATTTAAAATATGATTCCAACTCGCGACATAAGAGATCTCATGTTACAAAACAAGAGCCGAAAACTTCAATATAATTATTTGAATTAAATTGAATTAAAGTTAGCTCTGTTCCATCTTCAAGCGAAATTTTTTTGGAATAACGTATTTCTGAAATTTACGTGTTTTAATCATTGAAATCAAAATTCCCATGGTAACAGCACTATTTTTAAAAAATTATAACTAAAATACTAAGGAACTTTGGATTATTTACCTAACCAGTTCTTTCCTATTTTCTATATATTTTTATATATATATATATATATATATATATATATATATATATATATATATATATATATCCGATACTTTTTTGATGAGAACTCGTATATATATTAGATTGCTGTCAAAATCATATATATAGTAAGAGAAGGTAAGTTAGTCTTTCTACACAAGAGTAACATTCAAAGAATTTCGACATGAACCCTTTTTTTTTAATCTATGAGGGTAGATTTTTCCCGTTCCACTGACCATGCCTCGTGATATATATATATATATATCATATATTCATGTCGTTATTAATTACTGCTTCGTTATTGTTCAACCAGTTTCCACAGAGTCCAAGTATACACTACCCGGCCCAAAAATTGAACCTACAATGTCTAATGGATGTCAGTTATCAGTTATCTCCTGTTAATTCACCTCTCCAAGTACTCTACTGCCTTAACCAGGTATTGAACTCAAAAAACACATTGGGTCCTGTCACTGGATCTAACCAACGCCTTTATACACTGTGCCATGTGGCCTTAAGGCACGTTGAACAGTCTACCTCAGCAAGCGAAATAAAGGGTTCAGTTCGATATTCCAACCACCTGAAGAAGGCCGGGGCGTAGAACGGCCGAAAATATCGCAACAAAGATGAAAATAGTCCGAATAATGTAAATACTGTTTCGATTCATGGGATTGAATCCCTAAATTCGATGACATCAAAATTCAGGAACCAAGGCTTTAATCAACCTGCCCAGAACTTACTTATCGCATGTTGTATGAATCCTAGCCACGTAGCCTTAAGAAACATCACGAAAAAGGCACGATTTAAGCAGATTTTTCAATGCACATTTAATATATAATTACTCATAATGATACTTCGACACAGAAGCCACAACTGACACCGCTTTATCACCGGATGAAGCCTTTGTTGACGACATAACTAAAATTACATTATAGATATTCATTTTCGTGTAATTTGCAATTCAGTTGGTGTAATTTCGAATTTAATTTGTGTAACTTCAGACTCAATTTGTTAGTGCGAGTGTGCGTGTGTGTATGTGTGTATTTTTTCCTTCTCTCCGGAGTAATATAGACTCTGTAACGAATCAGAGAGATAGATGTTTTAAATTTCTATCATTAAATTTAGAAGGTATCAAACCAAATTGGATATGCCCGCGAGTTGTACACACTCATTATTACAATTCTGATATAGCTATCCAAGAAAATATGGCGTATGTTCTTTGCATAATTTACTATCATTAAAATTGGGGTATTTTTTCAGTAAAATTACCAAGACACGTGTAAACTAATTATAAACAAACATTTCTACATTACTCATTTAAAATTTGTCTATATATATATGCATATATATCGGCCACGTTTGCACACACACATTTATATATACATACATACATATATATATATACATATATATATATATATATATATATATATATATATATATATATATATATATATCAATTGTTCATTATATATATATATATATATATATATATATATATATATTGTTCATATATATATATATATATATATATTGTCCATATATATATATATATATATCATTGTCCATATATATATATATATATATATATATCATTGATCATATATATATATATATATATATATATATATATATATATATATATATATATATATATATATCAATTGTCCATATACATGTAAATATAAATATATATATATATATATATATATATATATATATATATATATATATATATATATATATATATATATATATATATATATGTATATATGTATGTATATATATTCATATACATCAGTTGTACATATATATATATATATATATATATATATATATATATATATATATATATATATATATATATTTTATCTTTTTTGATGAGACCACGTATATATATATATTAGATGGCTGTCCAAATCATATATATTGAAGAGTGGCGAAAGATTACGTTAAAGTTGGTTTCCTATTTTGGTTGAAACATCTATATGATAAATGTGTGCACAATTTTTACATTCAATGGTTTTTGACCGGTGTACTTTTGTATATAAATAAGAAAAAATAACTCTGAATATAAAAAATAGCATTAATACTTTACGAACATATCAAATACACATACACACATTATATGTATATAATGTCTGTGTATATATATATATATATATATATATATATATATATATATATATATATAAACATAATATATAATATATATAATATGTGTGTATGTATATATATATGTAATTTGTGTGTATGTATATATATATATAATATGTTTGTGTATGTGCGTGTATATATAATATAGATATATAAAGTGTGTATGTGTGTATATATGCGTGTATGTGAATATATATATATATAATATATATGTGTATGTATATATATATGATACAATATATATAATGTGTGTATATATATATATATGTGTGTCTATATATTTAATATATATATATTATGCATGTATATATATATACACATTTTTATGTATAATGTTTGTATGTGTATATATATATATACATAATATATATATATATATATATATATATATATATATATATATATATATATATATATATATATATATATATATATAAAATGTGCGTTTGTGCTATGACACATTTGCATCAAGAGGATTAACCAGTTTCTATGCCGGGAAATTATTTTATAATGGTTTTTCAAAGGCGAAAAAAGACAATTTATATTCAAATTCTCCCCGGATATGAGAATAATGAAAAGTTAAGCGACAATAAAGTCTTTCTTTCTTTCTTTCTTTCTTTCTTTCTTTCTTTCTTTCTTTCTTTCTTTCTTTCTTTCTCGCCCTTTCTTTCTTTCTTTCTTTCTTTTTATTTATCTATCTATCTATCTATCTATCTATCTATCTATCTATCTATATATATATATATATATATATGCAAATTAAGAAAAAGTATAGACAGATTCTCTCTCTCTCGCCCTTTCTTTCTTTTTATCTATTTATACATCTCTCTATCTATCTAGCTATCTATCTATCTGTATATATATATATATATATATATATATATGCAAATTAAGAAAAAAGAATCGACAGATTCTCTCTCGCCCTTTCTTTCTTTCTTTCTTTTTATCTATGTATCTATCTATCTGTATATATATATATATATATATATATATATATATATATATATATATATATATATATGCAAATTAAGGAAAAGAACAGCCAGATTAAGAATCTACTATTCTGTGGCAGTTACTTCTTTAAAAACAAAGTCCTCAATATAACGTAGAACAAAATATTTTCAAATTTGGTCTCTAGAAATATGCCAAAGCAAGTTTTAAGGGAGAAAAATTGGTAGCTCCATCTTCAGCTGAACTTGATGTTGATACTGTGGAAAAGTAGCACTGGAGCATAAATGGGTTTATAAATATTCAGAAGTTGTTAAAAGGTAAGAGATTAAACATGCAAGTATGAAAGAAGAGATTAAAAAAACAGATTGCTATCAAAGATTGCTCGCTGTACTAAATACGGAACATAATTCCCATGACAAGGTATTAGCAATAAAAGCTTTGCCATCAGGTGTAACCTACAGTTTTAATCTAATAAACCGCACTATCTCTGATGTAAGTAAAACGGATGCAAATTTCAGAAAGTTGTTAACGCCCAATAAAATAAATCACTCGAAATCAGACGTTCGTCGTCTTTAACATCCCAGAAGCACTTGTTCAGCATTCGTTGGGATGTCGAGAGTTCATTTTACGGAGATGGCTCAAACATGCGGTTGAAGGAAGAGGTAGCAAGAAATTTGAAGAGATAGAAACGACCAGGTAAAGGGAGGGGTAGCCAGAAGTCTGGGGAGGTGAAAACGACCGGGTGAAGGGAGGGGTAGCCAGAAGTCTGGGGAGGTAGAAATGACCGGGTGAAGGGAGGGGTAGCCAGTAGTCTTGGGAGGTAGAAACGACGAGGTAAAGGGAGGGGTAGCCAGAAGTCTGGGGATATAGAAACGACCGGGTGAAGGGAGGGGTAGCCAGTAGTCTGGGGATGTAGAAATGACCAGGTGAAGGGAGGGGTAGCCAGAAGTCTGGGGATGTAGAAACGACCAGGTAAAGGGAGGGGTAGCCAGAAGTCTAGGGAGGTAGAAATGACCGGGTGAAGGGAGGGGTAGCCAGTAGTCTGAGGAGGTAGAAACGACGAGGTAAAGGGAGGGGCAGCCAGAAGTCTGGGGAGGTAGAAATGACCGGGTGAAGGGAGGGGTAGCCAGAAGTCTGGGGAGGTAGAAACGACGAGGTAAAGCGAGGGGTAGCCAGAAGTCTGGGGAGGTAGAAATGACCGGGTGAAGGGAGGGGTAGCCAGAAGTCTGGGGAGGTAGAAACGACGAGGTAAAGGGAGGGGTAGCCAGAAGTCTGGGGAGGTAGAAATGACCGGGTGAAGGGAGGGGTAGCCAGTAGTCTGGGGAGGTAGAAACGACCAGGTAAAGGGAGGGGTCGCCAGAAGTCTAGGGAGGTAGAAATGAGCCGGGTGAAGGGAGGGGTAGCCAGTAGTCTGGGGATGTAGAAACGACCAGGTGAAGGAGGGGTAGCCAGAAGTCTGGGGAGGTAGAAATGACCGGGTGAAGGGAGGGGTAGCCAGAAGTCTGGGAGGTAGAAACGACGAGGTAAAGGGAGGGGTAGCCAGAAGTCTGGGGAGGTAGAAATGACCAGGTGAAGGGAGGGGTAGCCAGAAGTCTGGGGATGTAGAAACGACCAGGTAAAGGGAGGGGTAGCCAGAAGTCTGGGAGGTAGAAATGACCGGGTGAAGGGGGTGAAGGGAGGGGTAGCCAGAAGTCTGGGGAGGTAGGAACGACGAGGTAAAGGGAGGGGTAGCCAGTAGTCTGGGGAGGTAGAAATGACCGGGTGAAGGGAGGGGTAGCCAGTAGTCTGGGGGAGGTAGAAACGACGAGGTAAAGGGAGGGGTAGAAAGTCTGGGGAGGTAGAAATGACCGGGTGAAGGGAGGGGTAGCCAGTCTGGGGATGTAGAAACGACGAGGTAAGGGAGGGGTAGCCAGAAGTCTAGGGAGGTAGAAATGACCAGGTGAAGGGAGGGGTAGCCAGTAGTCTGGGGAGGTAGAAACGACCAGGTGAAGGGAGGGGTAGCCAGAAGTCTGGGGAGGTAGAAATGACCGGGTGAAGGGAGGGGTAGCCAGAAGTCTGGGGAGGTAGAAACGACGAGGTAAAGGGAGGGGTTGCCAGAAGTCTGGGGTGGTAGAAATGACCGGGTGAAGGGAGGGGTAGCCAGAAGTCTGGGGAGGTAGAAACGACGAGGTAAAGGGAGGGGGTAGCCAGAAGTCTAGGGAGGTAGAAACCGGGTGAAGGGAGGGGTAGCCAGTAGTCTGGGGAGGTAGAAACGACCAGGTAAAGGGAATAAATCTACAAGAACACAAACACCGGATAAAGGCAGGGTTAGCCAGTAGTCTGGGGAGGTAGAAACGACGAGGTACAAGACCCTAAAAGTGTGGGGAGTTAGAAATGGCCAGTGAAGGGAGGTTAGCCAGTAGTCTGGGGATGTAGAAACGACGAGGTAAAGGAGGGGTAACCACAAGTCTGGGAGATAAAACGACCGGGTCCAAATCTAAAAAACACATGGAAGTGGATAAAGGCGTTAGTTACCCCAGTGAGACCCTAAAAAAATGGTTCAATCGACATTTAAGGCAGTGAAGAATTAGGATATTGGAATTAACAGGAATAACTGGCATCCAAAAAATGGACAATAGTCTAGAATAATCTAAATAGTGAGCATAATAAATGGTTCAGAAATATTCCAACCATTCTGAAAAAGGCCGAAACGTTGTAATAAATATGGCGACAAAGATGAGGACAATAGTCCGAATAATGTAAATAGTGTACATAATACTTCATCTCAGAAATATAGACAGATTCTGAAAAGTCGAAACGTTGTGATAAATATGGCGACAAAGATGAGAACAATAGTCCGAATAATGTAAATAGTGTACATAATACCTCATCTCAGAAATATAGACAGATACTGAAAGGCGGAAACGTTGTAATAAATATGGCGACAAAGATGATGACAATAGTCCGAATAATATAAATAGTGTACATAATACCTCGTCTCAGAAATATAGACAGATACTGAAAGGCCGAAACGTTGTGATAAATATGGCGACAAAGATGATGACAATAGTCCGAATAATGTAAATAGTGTACATAATACCTTATCTCAGAAATATAGACAGATACTGAAAGGCCGAAACGTTGTGATAAATATGGCGACAAAGATGATGACAATAGTCCGAATAATGTAAATAGTGTACATAATACCTCATTTCAGAAATATAGACAGATACAATAACAAACATACCAGACGAACAATAAAACTTCTTCTCTACCGTACTTGGGGAAACATTTTTTTCAACAATACATAACAGACTATAAAATTTTTATTTCAGCCATATCTGTAAATCTGTAAGACTTACTTAAACAGACGACCTACAATTGTTAGTTCTACCAGTTTTAAGCTTCACCCCTAAGACCCGCCATAGCACGCTCATTGTATCAAACTACCGTGATTCCATTCGTCGTCTGTTGAATCTACTCCCCAAAAAACAAAGAAATTATATTACGTTGGATACCGAGTCACATCGGCATTCAGGGAAACGAAAAGGCCGGCAAATCGGCAAAGAACTCACTAAATATGAAACTATCAAATATAAAAATCCCATACAATGATCTCTGACCAATCGTTAATAAGTTTATTAAAGAAAAAATGGCAACAGTTATGGTTAACTGTCATCGTAATAGAGTATAAATATTAAACCAATCATCGGTGAATGGTTATCTGGCTACTGAAAGATAAGAAGAGATGGTTTTTGATAGAATCCGTATTGGGAATACACATGTTACTCACAGACATGTATTGAGAAATGAAATCCCACCTATAGGGGTACCGTGTCCGGATTCGTCTTCGATCAGGCATATGCTGTTGGAATGTTGCAGCTTCCGGCAAATCCGTAACTGGTATTACATAACGAACAATCTTAGAGAACTTTTTTTGAAAATATTAAACCAGATAACATAACTGCAATTTGTCAAAAAGATAGAACTTTACAATAAAATATATGAAAAAAAATGTTTATAAGTTTTTGCACAAACAAAAGACTTAACTTCAATCATTCTTGACAAAGAATAAAACTTTTTTTCAACCAACCCTGACAAACAATAAAATTTCTTCGATACGATACTTGGGAAAAAATGTTCCTACAACCATACCTAACAAAACTATAAAATTTTCTTTCAACCATATCTGTAGATCTGTAAGACTTACTTAAACATAATCCGTCAATCAATCAATCACTCGCTGGTGAGACCTAAGTTCCACTCGAGCAGCTTCTTCCCACGTACCGCTGCTTTGTGAAACCGACTCCCAAGCGAATGCTTCCCCGATAACTGCAATTTTAATCTGTTCAAGTCTAGAGTTAACCGTTATCGTGTCCTCTCAGAACGTAAGCGATCATGGCTCTCTATATCTTCCTGTCCTTTGTAGCGCTTAATAAATTTTGTTTTTCTATTATGTTTCCGAAACCCAGTTCGGTGATTCATTTACTCAAAAGTAAGTTAGGAATTGTTTTCCTCTTTCCCACTTGCCACCAATCTGTCCTGTGAGTATCAGATTTTCCAAGCCCCCTTTCCTCATTATGTGCCCCAGAAACCTCAGTTCTCTTTTGCTGAGTGTAAGTTTCCTTTTTCTTTACATTTTCTCTAAAATCTAATCGTTGCTCAAATTTCCAGTTCATGTTATCCTCACCTTCCTTCTGTAGAACCACATTTCTGTTGCTTCAAGTCTCTTCTTCATTGTTGAGGAGATTGTCCAGCATTCACTGCCATATAGGAAGACAGATGTCACATAACGATTCAATACTCTTTTCCTTGTTTCGAGCGAAGTTTTTTTTTCTATTTCTTAATACACTGCTTAGCATATGCAATGTCTATTTGGACATCCCAATACATCTTCGAATTTCAGTGTCACCCTGTCCGTCCTCTGTTAAATCACTTACTAGATAAATTGCTGTACCTGTCCGATTTGCAGTTCGCACTTTGGGCTCTTCCTTTTGTTAACAACCATGCATTTTGTCTTCTTCAGTTGACAGTTAGTCCTTTCTTCTCTCTTTCCTTCACTGCCTCCCATAGGCGTTTTTGTAGTTTTCTGTCCTTATCGGCTACCTGCCCTGTGTTATCTGCAAAGCTTACGTTATGCTGTGGGTTTTGACAAGTATTGGAACGTTTCTTGGCCTATGGCTGAGATTCGATCAAGGCTTCGACTAGCTTGCTAGGACAAGTCATGACCAGCTTTGACTAAGCTCTGACCAGCTTGGACATGCTATGACCAATTTTGACCAGTGGCCTTTGAGTGAAAACACTCGGGTTTCCCACGTTAATCGACCTTGTGTCACATCTTGACCTTGTGGGAGTCAAGTAAATACCTAACCAATACCTATTAAGATGGTGGGCGCCAATAATAAAAACTGGTAGGATTTCTAATTCTCTCAGAATCGCCAAGCTGTATAGGTTGTGAAGACACATCCTTGTCTTGCATACCTTTCTTTTTTGTATATCAGTAGAATTCATTTTCTGTTCGTATGCAGGCGGTTTGCTACAAGAATAGGTTACTGATAATCTTAATATTCTTCCAAAATATGTCAAAGTTGCTGAACAGTTCCACCAGATAGTTGTGGCGCACTTTGTCGAAAGCCATTGCGTGATTTATAGAACACAGGTGCACGTCTTATTGCGTCTGTATTGTTCTTTCTGATAACCTTCTGAGCATAAATGTTCTTGTGTCTTTCCTTCTCCCTGTTCTATTTCTGGTCTGATTCTGTTGCGAGCTTCGTTCCTCAGAATTCGGAAGATAAGTTTCGTTATATGACACATTAGGTTGATTGTCCGATGGCGATCACATTCGTCTGCACCTGACTTCTTAGGCATTGCTCTGAAAATATTTATACTCTTGATATGTCCCGGAAAGGGATATATTAGTTCGAAGTAGCAAAGTTGTTTTGTGCTACCGTAACTAGCAGGTAGCCGTAATGGACTGGTCCTCGTCGTAGGCGTAGGCAATAGACGTAGTCAATAGGCGTAGTCAATAGGCGTAGCTCATGTCCCTCCAGATCAGTCTGTATTTATGGCTGACACCAGCCAATCATATTATTGTGAAGGGGGAACCCAGGTGTATGCATATTCATTACATCAACTCTTGAGCTGTTTCATATTCACTTTCCAGCCTTGACAGCTTCCAAAGGCGTTGTTGTAGCCTTGTGGGTGATCAAATATTTTCCCACCTGACAATCCCTTTCTCCCAGACGAACCGTTGCCAGCCTCTCGATATTTCAATGCAAATATTCTGACAACTACATCCGGATATACAACCTCTACCCAGAGTGGCTCTTAGGGTGAAGAGTAAAAAGAGAAAGAAAAAAAAAAAACAGAACCAGTTTAGTTTCGGACAAGGCCATTGTTTTTCTACCCCTGAAACGATGTCACACCCTGCGAGAAGTTAATACCTGCAATCAAAATCAACATTTTAAAGAATCGATCGGCAACAGATGAAAGAGAAATTTGTGCGGTGTATCTGCTGAACTGTGTTATTTAATATTTGCTATTGACTCGAAAACCATGAACAAAAACTCAGTTGAACCAAAGGTTCAACTTAGTTCAAAGGAAGCCACACTTTGAATCAAAGCTAATATCTGCCGATGAGATGCATTGTAATTAAATACAGTTAAAATTGAAACAAAATGTATGACTTTACTAAAGAGCTTTTATTCGAATCATATCAGATTTGAGCCCGGCTTTTCTCTCGTTTTCGTTTCATTTGACTCGTTTTAAGTCTAAGCGCGCTTCACAAAACCCAGTCTGCGTTCAATGTTAGATTTGGTAATTTCTACTTGAGTAGTGGTTCGTAAAATTCGATACGTTTTGTATTATTCAAATCTACGTAATGATTCAGGAAAACTGGACCGGAAGTAGGATTATTAGGAAAAGTATTTACGATTAGGATTTTCTTCTTTTTTTTTAATTTTCAGCAGTGCTGTGATTATCTTTGATGAGACGAAAACTAAAGTATAATTTCCATATCTTTGGCTAGAGCTCAACACTCCCTTTACAACCTTAATAGTTTTCAAAAGCATTTGCGATATCTTTTGTGTGTGTGTGTGTGTGTGTGTGTTTGAGGACTGTTTTCCACCCTGCAGCAACGCCGAAATTGGGCTGTTACTCAAATACTCAGATGAGTTTCTCTACTCACACTAGCTCAGAACTTTACAGCTAGTGCACGCCATGTTACCACTCAGACATCGCTGAATGTAAGAAGAAAGCTCTGCACAGATTTAATCACAAGAACCGCCATTTTGTGGAACAGGCTCCTGAGCAGGTACTTCCCTGAACATTATCATCCTGTTTATGACGATAAACTACATCCGGCAGCAAAGCCTCTGATCGAGAGGCTTTGACGATCATGAAACCACCTCTTAATTGCTGATGTTCCCAAATCCACCCGGGGTGGTAGCACCTATTAAGGTCTCAATGATGGGCAAATTGTTAATCCCCAAACTGGGATAAAAAATACTACGGAAGTATGAAAAGAGATTTTTATAGTAAAAATACCAGCAATACATTTTTGAAAAAAAAATTACCAGCAATACAATTGAATCCCAAAAAAAACCCTCTTTAGAAAAATACGTCAATGAAACCTGATCTACAAATTGATTTCATACAAAGAATGCATATTCTATTGATACGAACCTATCCTTAAAATCTTGCCGGCATTAAATAACCTAGTGAGGTTGATATGCCGTAAAACAAATTAAACCAAACCAAACCAGTCTCTCGACAAAAAAAAAATTCTTTTTTAATACGTCAATGGAAGCTGATCGACAAAACTGATTTCTGACAAGGAATACATATTCTATTCATGCGAACCTATACTAAGAATCTGGCCAGCATTAAATATCGCATTGAGGTTGTTATGCCGTAAAACAAAATATACCAAACCAGACACTCTACAGAAACCTTCTTTACAAAAATACGTCAGTGGAACCTGATCTACAAACTGATTTCTTACAAATAATACATATTCTATTCATACGAACCTATCCTAAAAATCTTGTCGGCATTAAATAACCCACTGAGGTTGATATACCTTAAAACAAACCAAACCAAACCGGAACGCTATAATTTTAACTGCTTCAAGTCAATGATAAATCGTTATATATCCTCTTAATCATCATAATGTTCACTTTCATCATCTCTTATATTTATATATATTTGTTATACAAAAAGAGATCTGTGAAGCAATTTATGAAGCTAAAGTTTCAAAAGTTATGACCTCCTTCCTGTACTGAGTAAAATAAT